CATACTGACCTACAATGTTCTCCCCTGTTCACATTGTTCTAGGATGTTCTCCCCTGTTCACACTGACCCACAGTGCTCACCCCTGTTCACATTGTTCTAGGATGTTCTGCGCTGTCGACAGTGCTGTTAAATTTCTACCTTCTCAATGATTTCAAGATGAATGCCCCAACAGAAATGCTCCAAAATCACTCATAATCAGACCTCTTTACATTAGTTTACATCAAATGTTAAGAAGTTAGAAAAATAAATACTGATCAAAATGATGATAGATTTCTTTTTTTTGGACAGTGATAATATGTGGAGCTAAAGTCATTAAAAAGTTAAATGACACACTCTTTGTGAAACTCTCTGGAAGTGTTGCATGTTCGGCAACTTTCTTGTCCATTAAATACAGTAAAACCTTAAAAACTGTAATACTGTAGTGTTTTTTCTTCATACAGGACTGAACTGGGGTTTAACTGATTAGAGATTCATTATTTATTTTACATGATTTTGTTTGTTTATTTGTTTACCTGCAGTCCAAAAGACATTTCCTGTGTTTATGTTTATCTAATGTCTGATTTCTGTCAGTCTTTAAAAAAGAAAGTCATGGACAGAAGGACAGACATGAAGAGATACGTGCTCTACAGTAATATGTTTAAGAATTAAAGTCTGAGCCTCTTTTTTTCCATTACATGTTCTATATTGGTCCCTTGAGCTCTCAGTGCTGTTACTATTCATAGAACACTGTATTGCCCCCTGTGAGAACTTCAATACATTCGCTCCAGTTCACACAGACCTTTTTTTTTTGGCTCTTTATTATTTGACAGCTATTCTTCTTTAGTTGTTCTGAGAAAAGCTCAGATGAACAGAAACTGAGGGAGTGATTCCGTTCTCTCTTTTTGCCCCCAGTGGTGGCTGCTTTACTTGCTTGGTGTTGTTATTGGGCTGCAGCTGCTTCTTCTTCACAGTAAACATACAGACGCATGATAGTGGGACTTTGATCAGCCTTGGGTTTCTCTTTTCTATGCAGCTTAGAAGGTAAATGAAATAAAAAAGATCCCTGGGAACACAGGACCTTATGGAACATAGCCCTGGATCATAGAACCCTAGGAACATAAACTTGAGAAAATAGGGTGATTGGAACACAGAACCCTGAGAACATAGGACCTGGAGAACATAGAGCCCTGGAAGCATAGGACCCTGGGACTACAGGGCTCTGGGAACTTAGAGCCCTGAGAACATTGGGCCCTGGGAGCATAGCACCCTGGGCACATAGGACCTGGGGAAAATTGACCCTTGGAACATAGAACCCTGGGAACATAGGGCTCTGGAAACAAAGAAATTGATCCTGGTAACAAAGAGCCCTGGAAACATAGGACTCTGGGACTACAGGGCTCTTGGAACTTTGGAACCTTGGAACATAGATCCCTGGGGACATAGGACCAGGGGAACATAGGATTCTAGGAACATAGAACACTGGGAACAGAGAACCATTAGAATACAGGGCACTGGGAAAACTGAGCCCTGGGAAGATAGGATCTGGGGAACATAGGACATCGAACCCAGGGAAAATAGGATCCTGGGAACATAGAATCTTGGGAATACAGGACCCAGAGGACATAGAACCCTGGGAACATATGACCTGTGGAATATCTGAACCTGGGGCACATAAGTCTGGGAACATAGAGCCCTGGGAGCATACAACTCTAGAAACATAGAACCCTTAGAACACAGAGCAATGGGAAAACAGCCCTGAGAAGATAGGATCTGGGGAACATAGGACCCTGGGGACATAGAACCCAGGGGATACAGAACCCAGAGAACATAGAACTTTGGGAACATAGGACATGGGGAAGATAGGACCCTGGGAACATAAAGCCCTGAGAACATTGAACCTGTGGAATATTTGACCCTGTGGCAAGTAACACTGGGAACATAAGGCCCAGGGAACATAGAACCCCTGGAACACATGGCACTGGGAAAAATAGTGCCCTGGGAACATCAGACCCTGCGAATATAGAACCCAGAGAAAAAAGGACCCTAGGGACATATGACCCTGGAACAAATAACCCAGGAAACACAGGGCCCGGCGAAACAGAACCCTGGGAACATAGAACCATTGGGACATGAGTATGGCCCCTCCTAAACAGGCCAAAGTTAATGAATCAGGTGATGTAGCTACACTAAACCATGACGTGCTCTGGTTCTCCAGGACTGGGGAAAGAGCATCTGTGTGCACCTTGAACAGGTTCGTCCTTCACATGCCTCTGCGCTCGAGTCACGTAATGCAGCGCACATGCTCAGCGCAGGCCTGCAGAGTCAGCCTGGACACTGTTATTCTGTTTACTGTGGAAAACAGTTTACACAAGTGTGCATACCAGGAAGGGCAAGAACACACACTCGCTTAGTCAGGGCACTCCATCAAACAGACAGGAGCAACACAGCGGAAGCAGAACGATCGGAGCACACTGTGCAGTTTCCTCCATTTAGAGAGTTTATGTCACCAAAAATGTCCATTCACAAGGTCAAAGCTGCACATCTATTCATTTAGCAGACGTCCTTAAACGGAACAGTTTACAGAACGTTTCAGTCTCAGACGTCACATCAATTACAGACACTGCACAGAAGGTCTACAAGAGTTTATCATCTTTAAATGTACGAGTGCTGACAGAGTAAATAGTAAACAATAAGTATGTCACATATGCAGGACACATTTTGGGGAGTTATTCTGTAGTGGAACCCAAAATGGATTCAGCTCAGCTCAGTATTACCTTAAAGGGGAATTCTGTGGATTAAATGATTCAGATGTAAACAGAGTCGTTCAGAGCGGTTTGGTGTGGAACGCTCTGTTCTAGAGAAACTTACACAACTGTTCACAGTGGTGGTGATAGGAACCAGACGTCCACCTCTAAAAGCTCCCTCACAGAAAGTTCCTACATGAAATGGTTATGAATTCACTGCCTGATGACTGAGACACTGTTTTATTGATATATTTAAAAAGGTTTTGGCCTTAAATGCATTTTTAAAATCCATTGATGGAACATAGAGCCCTGGGGACATAGGACCAAGGGAACATAGGATCCTAGGAACATAGAACCCTGGGAACAGAGAACCCTTGGAACACAAGGCAATGCGAAAATAGAGCCCTGAGAAAACTGGATTTGGGGAACATGTGACCCTTGAGACATAAAACCCAGGGAAGATAGAAACCTGGGGACATAGATTCCTGGGAATATACAAACCAGAGAACATAGAACCTTGGGAACATAGAACATGGGGATCATAGAACCCAGTAAGGATAGGACCCTGGGAAAATAGAGCCCTGAGAACATAGAACCTGTGGAACATTTGATCCTGGGACAAATAACCCTGGGAACATAGGGCCCAGGGGACATAGAACCCTTGGAACACACAGCACTGAGAAAATAGTGACCTGGGAACATAGGACCTCCCGCACATTGAACCCTGGGAACATAGAACCCAGAGAAGACAGGACCCTGGGGACATAGATCCCTGAGAACATAGGACCTGTGGAACATATGACCCTGGGACAAATAACCCTGGAAACACAGGGCTTGGTGAACACAGAACCCTGGGGAGGGACACATGCAGGGTGTAATGAGGCAAAATAGTCCCCAAAGAAAACTTATTATTTCAGATTTTTCAGATTATTTCAGATTTTTCATTAACATTCCATATAAGCTCAGAAGACTCATGTAGGTTCACTGGTGGTTCTGGATAGTAAATAAAATGTCTATATTTGTGTTGTAGTCATGGCGACCCCTGGTTCCCATCACCAGCACTGTACAGACATCTAAGTTGAAAAACGTCTATGATTAACAATGACTGACATCTCAACCAGTGAATCTTACTGAAATGTTCAGAAATTGGTGGAACTCCACTTCAAAAGATCAGATTGACCCAGCCAAGACATCTTGGTGTCTGAAGTAATGTAGCTAAAAGGAAATGATTATATGATGTACAATTGTCCATAAAACTGGACACAGGAGACAGGAGGTTTTAGCATTGCTGCTTCTTCTGTTTTTAGCTATGTATTTAGCTTTTGTCCATATTTACAGACAGTGTGTCATACAGTGTCAGAAACCACATACACAAGTCTATTTCAGGTCACCTAACAATCCGGTGCAGTTTGAGTGACATTTGTGATGATTCACGTCTGTAGTTTGCGTGATGCTAACTGCTGAACCTAAACTTGCATTACTTGTACAATAGCCTCGTAGCTCCAGTGCAAAATTAAACAAGCAGACTTCAGACACAAAATGCGTCTTGGCTGATTGACTACATTTGAAAAAGAAAACTGTGTTCTTCGAATTTTTGCCAAACTAGTGTTTTTTTATGGAGAATTTGTGAAATGGTTCACTGTAGAGACACTTACTGACCACAGTGGTGGTGACAGGAACCAGGGGTCACCATATTTACAGTGCATGCATAGCCATTTTATTTACTATTCAAATTAAAAAATTAGGTTTTTGTTTTGCGTAACAACCACTGGCATGTACCTCTCCAACATCAATGAATTTTGAAAATAAATTAAAGGCGAAAACCTCAAATTATAAACCATCGTTTCAGGCATTGGGCAGCGCATGTGTAATCATTTTATGTAATAACTTTCTGTTTTTAGAGTCATTAAACTTTTCAGAAGTATGGATTCAATCACCGTCTATGATTTGTAAACATTTAATTATTCAGGAAATAAGAAAAAGTGATGAAATGCCCCTAAAGCTGACCAAAAAAGGGACATTGTTCAGCTAAGTACCAAATTTAGCTTGCTAACCCAACATCACTTTATATCCCCATCTTCTCTGGTCATTTCTGAACTGATTACGGTGTCTCAGTATATAACATACTATTTTTTCTGTGTTTCCGATATTTCAGCCATGTGAACCTACAGGACCAACGTTTAAATGCATTTTGGCCAGAATGTTATCCAAAAGTGAAGGCCTTGTCTTTCTGTTGTTTCACACTTAAAGATGTTGAATGTGCTTCTCTGTGGTCAGATATCTTCTGGCAGTAAGGCCTCTCTGGTTGACCTGTCTCCTGGTGACATCATCCTGGCTATAGATGGCATCGCCACCGACAACATGATGCACTGCGAGGCTCAGAATCGCATCAGGGAGGCGACGCATCAGCTCATCTTAACCATTGAGAGGTCAGAGTTCACAGTAAAAATTAAAATAAAAAATGACTTTGTATTTTTCTAGATTTATTGCAAATTGTAAAAGGTGATGTAGTTTTGGTGTCTTGTTTAAATTTTCTTCAGTCTTGCAATGGAGCTTAGAATATATCGGCGTTTTAGGGCCACTGTAAAAAAAAGTAAACATAACAGTTTATAGATAATGAAGTCGAAATATTTTAATAATAAAGTCATAAAGTTACAAGAATAAACTCACGCTATTTGGAGGATAAAGTGGGCTCATTGCAGGGGGGCTGCCATATCACGTTGGGGTCTCGTTGCTGTACTGGCGACGATGAAGACACCGAGTACGGAGGAGTTTCACTCCTTCATAATCGATCATTTTGATCATCATTCTCACTGTCTGTGAAACTTCATGCCCTCTTTGAATGGGGGGAGATGTAGCCCCGATAGCCGTGTAGACGACCCTGCCTGAGATTCTCCTTCAACAACACAGACAGACAGTTTCCTCCGAGTCCGTCTGGCTCTTTATTCTAGATAAACAGTTTCCTGCTCAGCCGTTTCAGCCGTTTCTTATCCTAATAACAGGCTGGTGCTGATGTGCAGGAGAGACAGGGAGACTGAGTGTTTCTTTATGGGTGAATCGATATGAAAGTAGAACTCCACCAACTCACCGGCCCTCATTTAACACCAGGAGGGGCTGCCTTCACTCTGCAAAGCCTTTGGCCACCATACTGCGACCTTTCCTGGTATTAATGCCACTTTAATGTTGGAATTCTACGACTTTATTCTTAAAATATTATGATTTTATTCTCAAAATATACATTTTGTTTCAAAATGTCATACTGTATGACTTTTATTTCAAAATATTACAACTTTATTCTCAAAATATCATTCTGTACAACTTTTAATCTCTAAATATTACGACTTTATTCTCAAAGTCTACTATTTTTACATTTTTTAACAGTGGGCCTAAAACGCCGTCGTATTAAAAAGCATGTCACATGAAGCTTGAATTTTGTCCGTTTGTCCGTGTTTATAGATAACGTTACAGTGCCATTAGAGATTACAGTTAGCTATTGTTTTAGCATGATGCTAACTGGTGAGGTATACCTTCCATTACTTGTTAGCTACATTAGCTGCACAGCTCCAGTGCAAAGCTAAAGAAGTAAACATTAGACACCACGTATGTCTTGGCTGATTGATTTTGTTTGAGTCTGGTTTTACATACAAACCTCTGGAATCATTTTATGGCCTTCAGAAAGAAGCAGCTGTTAAAATCACTGGACCAACATTCTGCTCACACATAACAAACCCCTTACGTTACAGGCCAGAGACCAGACTGTGGTCACCTCGCGTGAGTGAAGATGGCCGAGCCCACCCTTTCAAAATCAACCTAGAAGCGGAGAGACAGGTTAGTATAAGGCCGTTAACTCTTCTTCACAGCAGCCTGTTTTGGGGGTCCTAATGTGTTCGCCCCTCATTGCTCACTAGCAGCTCAACACAGTGTTTCACACACAGAGAGCCAACAGTGCGCTAGTTAATCTAACAACATGGATATTAAAAAAAATATCCTGATTGATTTTCATTCCGCTGGAGGAGTGGCCAGAGGCTGTATGCAAATGTTTGTGCACCCTGGTGTACATGTGTTGTTGATTTTCTACGTGAAAATAATGAATGAACACATTCTCTACAGAGAACATACTTCTGCACACTTTAATGCACAACTATTGTTTATTTGCTGAGTTTAACATATTGGAAAACAAATGAAACAATGTGGCCTGTGCAAAAGTGAAGGCATAGTTTATATTTTATGTCTTTTTTCAATATGTTAAACTCAGTAAATAAAAAGTTCTCTGTAGAGGATGTGTAAACTTTTTTCTTAGGACCTTGGGAACATAGGGCTCCAGGAAGCAAAAAAACCTAGGAACATGGTGCCCTGGGAATATCAGACCTGGGGAACATAGAAACTTGGAACACAGAACCCTGGGAATGCAGAGCACTGGGAAAACAGTGCCCTGCGAACATAGTACCTGGGGAAGATAGAACCCTGGGGACATAGAACCCTGGGAATACAGGAATCCAGAGAACGTAGTACCCACTGGGAACATAGGACCCAGGGAAGATAGGACCCTATCTGATATGTTTTTTGTTCTTCTTTTTACAATACATTAAACTCGTCAAATAAATAAAAAACTGTAGTAAAGTGTATAACATTTAAGGATGTTCTCTGTAGAGGACGATTTTAACTGATTTTCATTCATTTGAAAGGAGGTGTTAAAACTTTTGCATACTACTCTGCTCCATAAGTACTGGTGGAACATGTGGAATGAACTCACAATTAACACATTCTGCAACTAACAGCCATTCTGTTTTAATGCACAGAATTACTTCAGTATCTGTCACGCACCTTTAAAAGCGGCTAAAACATTTATTATAAAAATGTTTTATTATTCTGTTTTCTGTTTTGCCTCTGCCTTGTAAAGCACTGTGAACTGCATAACTGTATAAAAGATGGTATATTAACAGAGACTTTTATTATTAGTTTGTGTAATTTTGAATGACAGGAGTACAGGCCAATAGGAACAGGCCACAACAGGAGGGCCACTCCGTTCATAGCGGCGGCTAACATTGACGACAAGCGGCAGGTGGTCAGCTCGGCCTACAACTCCCCCATCGGCCTTTATTCCTCAGGCAACATCCAGGACGCCTTACATGGTCAGCTCAGGGGCCTGATGCAAAACAAGCCAGAGAGGTGAGAGTTGAAGGACCCTCTGATGTCCCTCTGGGGTGCCTGATCCAAAATAACTTTCCCAACTTCCCCTTTAGACCAGGGGTGTCCTCACTTATGCAGAAAGGGAATGTTGTTACTCCAGATTTTCATTCCCCCCCAAGCAGGAGCACCTCCTATAACTAATCTATTGTTTGAAGACTGTTCTTTACATCTTGAAAGGGTTCTTCAGCCTGATGGATAATGTGCATGAATATGCTATAGATGGGGTTCTTCTATTCTTACAAGCTTGATCACCTTTTGGGTGCTAAATAGATCCATTTTCAAAAACATCTACAGCACATTCTCTATCAATCTGAAGAAACCTTTAATGATGTAAAGAACCCTTTAATCATGCAAAGGCTTCTTTGAGTGTTCATGGTTCAATATAAAACCATTTTCCTTATTAAAGAACCCTTGAAGAACCATCTTTTTTCAGAGTGTATATTACATTGTAGCGACCCAATACTTACTGGCTGTGGATGTGCAGAACCTCACAGTATCACCAGACTCGCAGTAAGAGAGACTTTCAAGTGAGTTCTTATTGTTGGCTTCAAGTTGTGTGTTACTGGTGCTGTTCTGTGCTGGTTGTGGAGTAGTTGGTGCAGCGTTATTGCCTATATTGCCTCGCAACCCAAATGTTAAGAAGAGCACTTTTGTCTTTTCAGTAAAAATCAAACTACTTTGGGAGCCACAACATTTAATGTTCATTTTACCATCTTAACTGTAAATATGTCTCAGTGTGTGCTAATGTACTAGTATAGGCTAAAAAATATAAACGAAAGCGCAGGCTTACTTTGCTTTGCTTTAAGCAGCTACAGCCGCTTTTCTCGCATCTCCAGCAGGAAACTTTTTTGCAAAAGTACAACAGTTTCCTGTAGAATGTCTCTCAACATTAGATTTTTTTACGAGGCTGAAGTCGCTTCTCATTCACCAGCTTCATGTTCTAACTTTCACATTTCCACCTTATATGGTGCCTGAGGTGCCAGAATGTAACTGCTGCATCATTTTAGGTGGAACGGGAAAATTCAAATGAGAAACTGACTTAAATTAAACGTATCAGGAAACCACTTATAGTGCTACGTTTCCCACGTCTTCTTTTCGGCCGATGCCACAACATTACTTTGCTGCTCCGAAACACAAGAATCAAGGATGTGTTGTTGAGGATGTGACTGAAACCTGCTGGAAAAAAAGCCTAGAAACCATTAAGTGTTTCTGTTGGTTCCTGGTTTAGTAGGTGATGAATAGCTAATGCATTTGATGGTTTCCTAATGGTATCTAAAGGTGTTCTAGAGGAATCTAGTAGTCTCTATTGGAAACCATTAAGCCAAATCCCACTAGAAAGTAAAATATTTAGGTTTCTAATGGTCATTTTTCAACTGGAAGGCAGAAATAGCGCAATTTTGTTGCTAACAAGGCTAAATAACTTACCGTAACTGATGTTAGCTAGGTCCAGAAGCAGTGAAAATGTATTTTTCTGACAAACTAACATGTTGGGCCATCGTCCACAAAGGAGAAAATACCACCTGGAAGTAAATGGTGAGTATCCATCAGCATCCAGTGTTGTACCGGTTAGTTGTAGCCTAGCTTTAGCTCATTAGCTCATCTGAAGCAGTCTCTGTTACTCATCCAATACAAAAACCTATCAATTTCCCATGGCTCTTTGTGAATAATGAAATATGTTTTCAAAAGTATAGGAAGACCCTCAACCATCTCTGTCTACACTACACTATCTCTCCATGGTACTCTGTGATACCTTACATAGCCGGGAATCATTCTCCCATCCTTGAAAATTCACTAAATTATTCTGTGGTGAAAATTCTAATTTGTACAATTTACTCTTACCCCAAATGTAGTTGATCAGCCAAGACATGTTTGGTGTCTCAATTTTGCTTCTTTTGCACTGGAGCTACAAGGCTAATGTAGCTAACCAGAAACAGAAGCTAAAATCTCATCAGTACTCCTCTGTACTTCTCAATACTACCTCACACTGTGTTGAGTTGTTAATCTCAAGTAATAGACTTGGTTAAGTGGTTTCTGGCACTGCATGGCGTACTGTTATGTACAAAAGTGGACAAACATACATTACCTCGCTAAAAATGTACATCATAATCATAATAACCTTCTTCATAGAGCATTTATCATACCAGTGGTATTAGCATAAAGTGCTTAGCATGTCTTGTACGTTACATTTTTCGTAATATGGACATTTTCTGAAACTACTTGTGTACAAATACTATTAGTTTGCTTAGAAATGTCTTTTTGAAAAAACTGTGTGGTGAGTTAGGCATATGCTAACTGAGGAAGTATAAGCAAGCATTTACTACTTGTTAGCTACATTAGCCTCATTTTGGCTGATCAGCTACATTTGAGGTAAGAAGGGGGGAGAGGGTGTAAATCAGATTTTTTGCCAAACTGTCAGTTTATTATATGGGGCAATTGGCCCTGATGTGACATCCTGCTCTGAAAAGTGGAAGGTAGGCAGCATTAAAGTGGGGACTGAGCCGTGAGTCATGTGGATCACATTAGAAGAGCAGATATATGGAGTGTGTTAGAGAATCAGGGGCTTACAGAGCAGCAATGGAATGAATGTCTTCTAAATGGATTAGTCGGGGGGCCGGTGTGTCTGCTGGAGCCAGGTGAGCCGCATCAGAAAAGAATGCGTAGACGCAAACAGAAGCATGCACACACACAAGTGCACAAACAGTCCTAATAACACAAAACAGCTGCTGATAAAGACGAGGAGCACCAGTTGTCCCAGAGTAGAGCTGTAATGGGGCCGAACCCTTGGGCCAAATCTGAATACAGACCGAGAATTTTCTGACCGAGCTCAACACGAAATGACACAAAGTAGTTGTGCTTTAAGTCCAACACGGCCTGACCTGAACTATATCATCATGTTTTGAGTCCAAAGCAGACCCGATAATGATGATATTTGTGTGTGTGTTTGTGTGTGTGTGTTCAGTCCCAGGACTCTAACCTGTATAGAAGAGTCAGATGTGTATCGAATGCTGCAGAGAGATCAGACAGAAGAGGAGTCTCATGAGCCCCGCCAATCAGGATCATTTAAAGCCCTGCAGGATTACATCAACAGTGAGGGTAAGACACACACAGTGGTGTTTCTGAAATTTTTGAGAGGAAATTTAGCCAGTAAAAAAACGTGGGAAGGAGAACTGTACTAGCCAATCCGATTGCAGGACTGAAAATTTAACCAGCCAATCAGAGCATAGGAAGAAACACTGTGCAAGTTAGTGAGACCACATAATAGAAAATTCAACTGGCTAACCACAGTACAGGAAGAAAATTTCAACGAGCCAATCGGAGCAGAGGAGGAAAAATTTAACTTGTCACACAAAATGCAAAACTGAAAATTCAAGCCAATTAGAGTGAAGTGGGGCAAACTGTGCAAGTCAGTGAGATGTAGGAGGAAAATTCAACCAACCAGTCAGAATGCAGGAGGAAAACTTCAACTAGCCAATCAGAGTGCAGGAGGAAAAATTCAACTAGCCAATCAGAGTGCAGGAGGAAAATTCAACTGGCCAATCAGAGTGCAGGAGGAAAATTCAACCAAACAGTCAGACTAAAGCAAGAAAATTTAACTAGCCAATCAGAATGCAGGATAGGGAAAATTAAACTGGCCTATAAGAGTGCAGGACAAAAAGGCTAAGAACCAAGCAGATCGCAGGAGGTATCAGTGAAATTGCAGGAGGGAAAAATTCAAGTAGCCAATCTGAGCGAAAGACGAAAATTCAACCTGCCATGCAAAATGCAAGCATGAAAATGAACTGAGCCAATCAGAATGCAGGAGAGAAAACTGTGACGAAGGTAGGATCCTATCAGCTAAACTGTAAACTAAGGAAGCTGCTACAATGTCTTACAGTTAGGATAAAAAGAATAAACCTTCTTAGAATAAACCTGCTTTTGAAGACAAATGGAGTTTTCGTTCACCTTCACACTCAAATGCCATTTTTGTACCAGCTACACTGAAATCTCTCTGATGGACAGGAACACGTCCAATAGTGACGAGAACAGTGCGAGCGCCCACCACCAAGCCCCCGGCCCCCGCAGGAAACCTCCACAAACTGCCCATGTGTGACAAGTGCGGCAACGGCATAGTGTGAGTACCTGCAGAAAAGGTGCCGGACGTCACTCAGACTAAACAACAAGCAGCACAGCGTAACGAGATCTTTCTCCAACTCTGATGTGCAAAAATATACATAAATATAACATAAAGGCAGCTGCACAGAGACACACCAGACAGCATAACTGCATTAGCCTCATAGCTCCAGTGTAACCTCAGACCCAGAAACATGACTTGGCTGAGTGACTATGTTTGGGCTAAGGGGGAGTGAATTAGATTTGTAACAAAACAGATAAAAAAAAATAAATAAATAAATAAAAAAAGACAAAATGAAATTTACACGACTTTATGCTTATTAAAAATACAGTCCAAACTTTGCTTCTTTACATTAGAACTGGAGGTGCTAAGCTAATGGTGCTAGCAAACACTGGAAGTAAATAACCACCAATACATGACAAAATCTGTATATTTGCTTCAAATTACATTAATAAGCTCCTTAAACAGAATTTGGTCCAAAGGCAGGGAGAGACCATATCGCTGCTGCCGGAATAAAACCTCGTATCTCCAAAATGATGACTTTAGAGGAGAACGAAAAAACCTACTTTACTTTTAATGTAAGTCAATGGAACCAGGCTTTTTTCCAAGTCATTTTGGGCCATTTCTTTTGGGCCATTCATCATGAAATTTACACACAATGTAAAGGTCAACAGGTATTTTCAAATTATGTCAAAAACTGAAAAGGAGGTTTTCTTCCGACAGCAGCGATGTACACATTTAAACCAAAATTAGAGCTACGTTTTCACCCAACAGGACTCTGTTCTGTTTTGGGAGGCTGGAGCTCAGGGAGGCTTACTTATCATAAGACACAGATATCAGTTTTTACCCAGAACACCTCATAAAAGTGAGGTTAGCGCTGTCTAGGTTTTCTCCGCTGCTTTTGTGCTCACTTACTGTCATGCTAAGAGGACGAGGCGGAAGCTGGCTTCCTATTCAGCAGCTTTTTAATAGAATTTTCCGTTCCACCTTAAATGGTGTAACAGTTACATTCTGGTGCCTGAGGTGTCAGAGTCTAACTGCTGCACCATTTAAGGTGGAACGGAGAATTTAAATAAGAAGATAACTTCAGCTTCATAATCTGATCGTATTAATTTACTCTTACTGTACACTTACGTTAGTCCACAATGTTCCCATAGCCCCACCTTTGGCCGTCTTAATGATGATACCAAATTGTTCTCAGGAATTAAGTCATTCCAATTATCCTAAATTGCTAACCTTTATTTTTGTATTTAATTGTGAGTTATACCACAATTGTGGTTCTGAACCACAATGATTTGTCTGTGTGACCTGAAAGAAGACCTGGATACAGTTCCAGCGGGTTGAGAGAAAAGATTTGAGCATGTATTTGTGAAAACTGTTTGGGTGACTATTGACCTCCAGTGTTTGTTAGCAGCATTAGCCTCATAACTCCAATTCGAAACTAAATAAGTGAAACTTGGACACCAAACATGTCTTGACTGCATGTGGAAAATCACGTAAATTGGATTTTTTCTGTGAGTTAATGATGTTTCCTCTGTTCTCCGTTCTCTCTTTAATTCACTCTCTCTCTCAGAGGGACAGTCGTAAAGGTTCGGGATAAGTATCGGCACCCCGGCTGTTTCGTCTGCTCGGACTGTGAGGACAACCTGAAGCAGAAAGGCTATTTCTTCATAGACGACCAACTTTACTGCGAAACCCACGCTCGCGCTCGCACGAAACCGCCGGAGGGTCACGACCTCGTCACGACTTTCCCCGCAGAGTAGCACACACACCTGCAAGACTGCACTCACTTATAAGTGCACTAACTTCTTCAAAGGGCCCAAATGAACAAACACAAGACAGCCAATCAGAACAGAGCTCATTTACATATATCAGATTTATCACATTTACAAAAAACAGCCTGTTTTGAATTCACTGTTTCTGTGATGTCACAAAACACATTGTCGGCCTGCAGCAGTTTAGCCCCATCTATTCACACTAAAGCTATAAGGAGTTTCAGTCTGGACTGCTTTTTGAAAAAGGGGCAATAGAGGACAGCCAATCAGAACAGAGCTCATTTACATATATCAGTCATTTTCAAAGTGAATTACAACTGTTTATAAATGAAAATAAATGAAAGGATATTGAATATAACAAAAAAGTAGTCTATGGGCCCTTTAAGCACACAAACTCACACACAGATACACACTGAAAAACACACCCACTGATATACCGATTGTATTTTTTGTAGTGTATCAATACTGTGTTGTGTGTAAACTGTAGAAATATTAGCTACAGTGGCTGAATATTTCAATAAATATGCAAACACAGTCACAATGTGAGTCGTCTTCATTCTGTCACAAAGTTGACATTGAAAAAGTGAAGTAAGCAAAGCCAATACGGTCACATCGCACTGTTCCACTTCAACCTGTAGTTATTACTGCTGTTTGCTATTCTTTATGAATGTAGTTATGTCATTACATACTGAGATACATAATGAATTATCCTTACATTATGATTTACATTCTGTATCAACAGCTTCAAAAATGTAAAGGATGGATTTTCTTTCTACACAGCAGTGACTCAATAAATGGGGGCAGCTGTGAAGTGTCAGGTCTCAGAGAAATCACTATGGAGAGGTTAACAACTGCCAACTAGCCTACTAGCCTACTAGCCTACTTCATTGTAGCTGGGTCATTAGAAAAATAACATTACCATAATCAAAGACAAACAATGTGAACACAACATACGGTTGCTGACCTGTATGACCTGAATGTACATGAGATCAAAGTCCTCTAACTGGAGTTAAAAGGCGTTAAACACACATAACAGCAGTGCTGAAACAGTAAACTACTCAGTGTTGAGAAGAAAAGGTAAAAACCTTTTATTAACTACAGTTTTACACAGAAGCTCCATAGAAACCCACTCATTTTTGGACCCGTGAGCGCCCTCTACTGTCTGATCAGGAGACTCCAGAGTGTGGGTTTTCCTCAGTAGAAGCTCTCTGGTCTGAACAGCACACTGAGCTCTTCATCATGTTAATGCTCCATAATGAGAGCAGGGCGCCCCCTGGTGGGGCTTACAGCTCTTACAGGAGGAAACAGCTCTGCTAATAGAGCTCATGTGTGGAAACAGACGCATCATTTTCACCGGGTCTCCTCTTCAGGAACTATGAGGTTCCACACAGTGATGAGCACATTTATTCACACCTTCTGAGTCAGGAAGGAATATTTCACCTCTCACATTTTCACTGCTGGAATGGTACAATTACAAACTCCACATTTCACCCACAGACTTTAAACAGGAGTTTTACTGGTTTTAAAATAGTGTTGAATGACATCCACATTAAAAATACATTTACTTTCATATTAAGGGTATAAATAAACTATCAAAATGAAATGAAATGAAATGTATAAACTACTATATCTTCTTTATCTTCAACTAATAATAATAATAATAATAATAATTATTATTATTATTATTATTATTGTTATTATTAATCCTGCAACCCAAAAGGATAAGCAGCTTAGAATGTGTGTGTGTGTGCGTGTGCGTGTGTGTGTGTGTGTGTGTGCGTGCGTGTGTGTGTGTGTGTGTGTGTGTGTGTGTGTGGTGCAGTGGGTTCGATTCCCGGCCGGGCGACCAGGGTCGTTTCTGTGTGGAGTTTGCCTGTTCTCTCCATGTCTGCGTGGGTTTCCTCCGGGTACTCCGGTTTCCTCCCACAGTCCAAAAGACATGCAGTCAGGCTGATTGGACATGCGGAATTGCCCCTAGGTGTGAATGTGTGTGACTGTGTATGTCTGTCTGTCTGCCCTGTGATGGACTGGCGACCTGTCCAGGGTGTATCCTGCCTTCTGCCCAATGACAGCTGGGATAGGCTCCAGCACCCCACCGCGACCCAAGAAGGATAAGCGGTTTAGATGATGTATGTAGTGTTAGTATTTCCATTTGTCTTTTATATTTTTAATAACAAACATTATGTAACATTATGTTACATTACTTTAGTATTAGGCTGTATTATATGTAACAGGGTAGGGTAGTAACATCGCCGTTCTTATGAACCACCGCCGTTCCTATGAACCACCGCGGTTCCACTGCTTCTTTATTAAGCTCACCTGTGGCTCACTTGAGTTTGTAGCCGGTGGCATGCGCGTGCATGGGGAAAACATGGTGAGTACATGCACACATGTCTGTACATACTTGCATAATGTCCACATTCATTACAGAAATAGCCCGTAAAGTGAGTAAAGGCTGGTGATGGGGTCCCCGGGTCACCACATCACAGGCTTTTTGTGCCAAAAACATTAATTTTTACATGATAATTTAAAGCTCTGAGTTATACAGGCTGTTTTTGTTACTGTGCCTTTAAGACTGATATATGTAAATGGGCATTGTTTTGATTGTTTTGATTGGCTGTGCTGTATACTGCCCACAGATATACATACCTCGATGTTGCGTTGGGTCCAGCCAGGCACGTCAGGGGCGCCACCATTTTGGGGAGGTCAACATCACAGCTGGACTGCATTCAGTACCATTACAGAGTGGCGGTTTAATAAAGATACTGTCTGAAATTACACTATTTCAGGAATATCACACTCAGAAAGAGGGACAGGATTATATAACGGAGGGAACGCAGTGATCCACACTCATGTCTGTGTGATGTTTATGTAGATATGGCCGTGTGGTTAATGAGGCACAGAGAACCTGCTGATGTGATTTGTTTCTCTGGTTTTATATTACGCTTATTTCATTTAATAGGCTATTCGGGGGGATCTTAACTGTATGTTTTGTAAGTGATGTTTTAGCCTGGGCTGCTTTTAAAATGAAACACAACACAGGGCAGCCAATCAGAACAGAGCTCATTTACATGTCTCAGCCTTAAACGCATATATCAGCAAACAAAAACGGCCTGTGTAACACTAAGAGATGAAGAGAGGTTGGAAAATGAGCATGTAAAAATGAATTATGGCTATTTTTGGTACCTAAACCACTAAAGAGGTTATAAGTGGACCTTAGAGATGAAACAAAATGCAGGGAAATTGTAGGATATGGATCCTTTAAGTGATGTTTTTTCATAATGGTCTAAACTGAAATGTAACTGAAGCTGTAACTGCAGTACAGACATTAATAATGGCCCCATTTTCCACAAATGTCTGTTTATAAAACTATTCTAAAACCATAAGAATGACGGCCTCAGTTTGTGAAGAAATCTGTTGGCATGATTGAACAGAAAGTAACAGCAGTCGTGTGCAGATTCTGAATGTTCTTAATGTTTGTGTCTGTATAATTTTTACAGACAAAATTCCGGCTGAGGAATCAGACGATTGTGTCTGGATGAAGGTAAGTTTGATGTGTTTGTTCTAAAACCATAAATTTTAACACCGTTTTTACAGTGATGGTCCTTATTACGCTCTCAGTCTTAGTGCTGATACAGAATAGGTTTTTTTTTAACGCTTTAAATGAGTGAAGTTATTCGATACTATGTCCACAGATTCGTCCATTTCGGCTGGGTACATGTGTTAAAATCCAGCCAAACTGTGGACAGTAAAGATGGGTGGATATTGAATCTCTGTCCTGACAGGACCTCGTATCTCCAAAATGATACTTTACAGAAGAAAAATCATTCTTAAACTGTTCAACTTTAAACGAGTCAGAAAAAGTTTTGTGATCACCTCACATCAAGAAAAATGGTATTGAAAGTTTAATTTAGCTACGTTGGAGCGATGTATGTGTGACCCTTCTATCAGGTGTTTGTCTGCCCTGGCCAATGATGCACACCAAACTGGGATGATGCAGCTTTACTTGCCTTCTAAAATGTGTATGGCAACCACAGTGTAAATCTCTGTTCATGCTTCGGTCAGCATACGACACAGCAGCATGCAAACGCTGTACTGCCCAAAACAATACACTGGTCTAAATGTACCCCCCCCACCCCCAAAAAATTAAATGATATGAATGCAACTACCTTTACAAATTACCATGATCATTTAGTGGTGAAAGTGCTTGTGTTTTCATATGTTCAGTTTTAAGATGTGTAAATGTCTACATTTTGCATTTCTATCAGGGTTATTTCTGTTAGTGTCAATATGAATTACATTTTACAGCTACATCATCCTTTTTTAATAAGTGGACCGTGAGCAAAAGTAAAATGAAATACTGCCATCTGGTGGTGAACGCAAAATATGGCATCCAGACCACATGGTGCAGCTAACTCATGGATAAGCCAGCTAGCATTGGTGTGCTCAATAATACGGTTCTTAATACACCATAAACACAAATGGGACGCACCTGAAATGAGTATGGCAACTGAGGTGTGAGTCTCCGTACATACTTTGTCCAGCATACAACTAAAGAAACAGGCTAATGTGTGCATGGTTCAGGTTTAGCTTTGAATAATTCTTTAAATTATGTGCCCTACTGGGTATACTGGTCTCTGTTACCTGTATTTCAAGACAGTAGGAAAAAAAGTGGAATATTGTAACAGTTTACAGAGTTATTTGCAGTTTTACTGAGCTGAACACAAAAAGCTGTACTCACCACAGCAGCATGCAAACACTCTACTACCAAGACGACACTAAATTGGCTATATCAATAGGAGTTGTAATATGTTTACCGACCAGCAGTCGGTAAACCCATTCAGTAGGAATTTCTCCACATAATGTTAATACAACTACTGTACATGGTTACATATATCATGGCTTTTATGTGGTTCTCCTTTAGATCTCGCTTTTTTTCACAACTTTCCATCACCTCACATCTGGAAAAATGGTATTCAAAGTTTCATTTAGCCACGTTTGTGTAATGTATATGTCTTGGCTTTCATGTGGTTCTCCTTTTGCCGTCATCATCATCTTCTATTTCCTCAGCCTCAACACAAGCAAAGAAAAGTATAGGCCCTTTGTTTAGAAGTGGCTCTTCAGACAAAATGAATCACCCAAACATAAGTCCTGCAATTGTTTTCCTGACTTTGCCTTCACTCATTTTACTTTCCTCAGATACTTTGGCATATGTGCTTCAACTCACTGTGGCATAACTGACTAAGTGTGGCCAGAGCCATAAACAAGCCTGAAAGTTGTAACCTTGAAAGCAGTGTAGCTTTGAACTTTTTAAAAAAGACCACACATAATGTTTGATGTAATGAAAAATGTTTGCTCAATTTGTATCCAGAATTAGTTTGAATGTAAAAGTACACAAGAATATAAAACTAACAAGATTAACTTTAAAAGCACAAAGAAAATAAATTAAATTGTTAGTTTGAGCATTCACCTTTATATAATGTGCTACATATTAATTACAGGTAATCGTTGCTATTATATATTAAATTTGCATGTAAT